GGCAAACTAGAGATATAAAGTACAATAGAGGTTCCACGGGGGTGAAGAAGAGGGAGGAGTTACTGTTTAATGGGTACAGAATTTATGTTTGGGATGATGGAAGAGGTGTAGATCTGGATAGTGGTGATGGTTGTACGACATTGTTCATGTCCTTGATGCCACTGAATTAAACATTTAAAAATGGCTAAAAAGTTAAATTTTATGTTACATATATTTTACCACTAAACAAACAGTAAGTTTGATTGACATCTAGGGAGAATTTGTGAGATTATCTTGGGATAGAAAAAACCTGCAAGTTGATAGGGGGGAAATAGGGTGTTTGTCAGTCTGGTGTTCATATTCAACAAGTGGCTACCATCGTTGGTGTTAATGGACTGTTTTGTTTCGTTTTAGTTATGTCCAGAATTATTATTTCCAGAATAATATATAATATGGTTAAACATTGTTTTTTTCTTTTACTTTATAACTTTTAGATTTTATAGAGAAGAATCTAAAATAAGTGAAGGGTTTTTCCTTCTCTTACCTGAAAGTAAACAATAGGGACTCTGACTAAGGTGACAGAACTCTAGAATGACCAGTTCTTCCTCTGTAACATATTATTTTTGGAAACTGTTCTACAACCATTATTCCAACACAGACAGGTTGACTCCCAAGATAGGCAGCCTTGCTTAGCAGACTTTGTTTCCCTAAAGCAGTTGTTTCTATTTCCTACAAAGATATAGTATGGCAAAATGGTTTAAAACTCACACTTGGGAATCAAATATCCTGACTTACTGTCTTGGCTTTGTGAAGAGCTGTGTGGCCTTTTGTAAAATTATTTAATCTCTTCATGCCTCATCTTGAAATTCATCTGTAAAATGTGAGTAATAATCACTTCACGTGTTTGTTGAGAAGATTAAATGAGATGACGTATGTAAAGTGCATAGCATAGTACCTGGTACATATTAAATGCTCAATAAATATTAACTGTTGCTTCTGCTATTACTGCTCTTCTGCATAAATAAGCTCAAGGTCCAGACCTGGAGATGGGTGGGGGGTATCCACAAGAAGGCATTTCTTGTTTAACTTTACAAAACTCTTATACAAAGACATACTTCCTTTCTCTCCCAGTCCTATGGTGGCGTCATTCTTATGCTGTCTTTATACTTTTTTGCATTTAGACTTCTCTTCCAAGCACCCATTTTAATCTTACCACATTTAAAAAAAATTTATTGGCACATTATAACCAGAGTTCACTACGCAATACTTCATTCCCTCACTTTTTAAAAAGTCTGTTGAGTCCCAGTCTTTTTCTTTTTACCTCTCCCTTCATCCCCTTCTGGATTATAGATGCTGAGAGCTGAATTATATCCTTTAGCTACGTCACACATTGTCATCATCAGTACATGCAAGGTCCCTCCCTGGTTTTATTTTTACCCTTCATCCCTAAAGCTCATCCTGTATCTTTCCCCCAGAGGCACCCATTCTAATGTGTCTTTGCATGTCTTTAAATATACATGCACTTTTGTAAGTAGGTAATACTGTTTTGTGTGCTGGGTTTCTAATTTATAAGAAGGTATTGTGCTATTAATGTCAACATTACATTTTAAAGCTCTGTTAACTTATATATGATTATTCAGATCTTCTAACTCTTAACCAAATTCTAGTTATCTATTCCCTAAAGGATAGACACCTAAATTACCATCAGTTCCACCCTACCACAAAGCATGCTGCAATTAACATTCTTACATCACCCTTTTTTTTTTCTTACATTACCCTTTATAGGTAGGATGGTCACATTGGTCCACGATGAGATTTTAAATTGAAGAGGACTATTTTAATTATACTGGGACACCAGGTATATATCAAGACTCCCATGGGGCGCCTGGGTGGCTCAGATGGTTAAGCGTCTGCCTTCAGCTCAGGTTGTGATCCCGGGGTCCTGGGATTGAGCCCCGCATCGGGCTCCTGGCTCAGCGGGGAGCCTGCTTCTCCCTCTGCCTCTCCCCCTGCTCATTCTCTCTCTCCCTGTATCTCTGTGTCTCAAATGAATAAATATTAAAATAAAATTAAAAAAACTCCCAGACAAACCAGGATATGTGATCTACCCTATTTATGGAAGATTTTTCTGGGACACAGTTGATAATCAGCAGAGATATACTGGGATAGCCCTTCTCCTTCTGCGTATTTCCAGCTGACATCTGTTGCAATTGGTTGGTGCATGTGGTGGACTGACTGTTGCATATTTTAAATACCACTCTGGCTAGAAACTCTTCATGACCGGGCTGTCTGGGTCACAAGTTATAGACATACTTAATTTCAATAAGTTTGAGTTCCAAACCAGTCTTGTCCTATTAATAGATGGATGGACTTTTTATCTGTCTTATATTTCACACTGGTACTGTGTATTTGTTAATCTTTTCTCCGTCAAACTATCCGATTTGGGGTGGTAGTAGGCACCACTGTTGACAACTACACTTGTCGTAATTACTTTGTAGGTCATAAGGAATTTTTCAGATTTTATGTTATTGGACCCTACCAATTACCTTCTGAGGTAGAGAGGGCAGGATTTGTAATCCTTATGTTACAGAAAAGGAAACTAAGGATCAGTGAGGTACACTGACTTATTTTAGTCCACATATCTGGTAAGTTAACAGAGTTGAATTTGTGACCAGGTCTTCTGACCTTAATTTGTTTCTGCAAAATCTAAAAGGGACAGGGAAAAGGATAAATTTCTGTTTGTGGTTAAAGCAGGGACTGTCCCGTTTAGCTTTATGTCTTCCTCAGAACATAACACAGTACCTGGCACATAGTAAATGATCAGATTTGAATTGGTAGTACAAATGCTCAGTGCTTTGGTGACTCCCATTTATTTCAGCAATGCTTCACGTTATAGGTAAGTTCTGTTCTATAAATGTTCCGGCTGAACAGAGACTTCATGGCAGTCTCAGAGTTTTCATGTTAAGTGGTGTAGTTCATTTACAGCTAACGTAGCAATCACTTATAAACATGCCTATATGATGTGGTTTCTGGGTGAGAGTAAGCACTTGTATGTTTATAGAAAATTTCAGTAAGATTTCCTCCACTCTCCTTTTTTAGGCACTGTTCTGTAGCTTTCAGTAACCAGTAGCAAAGTCCCTCTTCTAACTACTGTATTGCATTTAGCTACTTAACACATGCTCCCTGTACCCCAAGTCCCCAGACTCATCTGTAGCATTTGGTGAAGATGTTAGATCGGAAAGATTTTCTCCAAGTAGTTTGTGCTAGTATTGTGAGAGGCTGATTGTCCTCAGCCACCCTGCTCAAACCTATCACAGTTTTGAAGTAATTTCAAAGCCTTTATTAATCAGGTTTCACCTACCTTTCTGTCTTATCTCATCACTACCTACCAACCCCTTTCCACCCACTATGATACAAATTAAGAGTGTTCTAAGAGAAACCATTTAGTAACTTAAAAGTTTCATACCCTTCTCTTCAAGGAAGTTGAAATAGTCATCTTTCAGAAAGAGCTGTTGCTATCCTGTATCTTAAACCCTTTTCATTCTCTAGCTGACATAGTCTGTCCACAAGGTATGCTATCTAAATGATGTTGCCTGGTGCTTCTCTCCCTTTGGCCATGTATTTCCTTAAATCATAGATTGATTTGCTAGTACTTACGTTAATACTGCGAACTTCACACATAAGCTTTCATCCCACTAATGGGGAGAATTTTTTAGGAAGCCCACATATGTCTCCTTAAGTATCTGTTTTCTACCGAAACCAATAGTAAGCTGGTGATTATGCCTATTCCTTCTAATCGTGCCACCGAATTTTTGTTTTTTAATTGTTTTCAAAGTATTTCTTTTCTCTTGGCACTATGGCTATGAATTCTACAGTATCCGACAGAAAGAAAACCCCAGGGAGGTTTTTTTTTTTTTCCTTTTTAATGCATAGATAAAATCGCTTTATAACAATGGTTTTTGTATCATGAAATTCTTTCCACAACTTAGTGGTTTGTCCACGGAAATGACACTTTACTAGTCTTCTTTCTTTTTAATATTTTATTTTATTATGGTTAGAACACTTAAATGAGACCTACTCTTAATAGATATTTAAGTGTACTGTAACATTATTGTTATCTGTAGGCACCAAGTTGTACATCAGATCTCCAGAACTTACTCATCTTCATAACTGAAATTTTATACCCATTTAAATTAGTCACTTAGAGAAGCAAAGAATAGAAGGGTGATCGCCAGGGGTTTGGGCGAGGGGGAGAATGGAAGAGTTGTTAATCCATGGGTAGTCAGTTTCCTACAGTGAATAAAATTTGGCAAACTACCCAAATTCACGGTTGTTTGTACTAGAGCTAGAAAAGGAAACAATGAATTTGGTGATTTAGTCCTATTATTGAAGCTTCAGTTACCTTTCTGGTTCCCAGGATTCCTGCCAACGCCTACACTCAAAATAGAAAAATAAATGAAACTCCTAAGACCATTTCTTCCAAAACACCTCCATACACAAACTGTCCTGAACATTGGGAGAAGGGAAGTATGAAGGGGAAGCTTTGGTTAGGAATCTCTTCTCCACTGAATTAAAGATAGTTAATTTGCTAATTAGTTAAAAGCATGGCTTCTCATGAACACAACTCACCCTGTTACATTAATAGCAGGAAAGTCAAGATTTGGGTCCTTTAAATGCCACCAGCAGAATCAAAATTGAATGTGACCAGAAGCACATCTTATAAGAATCACCATTATTCTTTCACTGAGTTCAGTAGAGATCTTTTTATATTCAACAAGCTATGTTGATGACTGCGTTTATGTTTTTAGTCTTGCCTGGTCTAAGTGCCCAACTCTGGGTACTCTTGACCTCTGTTGATGACACTCTTCACTGGCTTTGCCCGAGTCTATTGACCAGTTACATCACAGTTGACTCGTCAGCCTCCCCTCCCCACTAGAACTTTCCTCTTTCTCTCTTCTTCTCCTCTAATCCCTTTCTTCTTCACCACTATCTCCTTTACGACTCCTCCATGATTTTCTCAGGGCTGGGCTTCAACATCGTCGGTGGCACAGATCAGCAGTATGTCTCCAACGACAGTGGCATCTACGTCAGCCGCATCAAAGAGGATGGGGCTGCGGCCCTGGATGGGCGGCTCCAGGAGGGTGATAAGATCCTCTCGGTGAGAACTGGCTTCGGCCTCCTTCGCTGTTCCTTGCTCCCTAGACCCCAGTTCTTACCCTTGGCCCCTTCCTTGGGAAGATTTCTCCCTGCCTTTTTGGGTCTGGAAATACCTGGATTGTAGAATTTGGTGGGAGGGACCTTGATTAGTCACCTTTTCCAACCTGAACATAGAGCAAAGAGGATAATTCCTCATGTGATAGACAAGGCATATTCAGGCCAGAATGTGAAGCTACTTAGCCAAGTTCAAAAGACAGGGAACAGGGAGGGATGAGGGTCTGATGTGGGGGAAAGGGACTTAAAACCCACAATTGTTGTCCTTCAATTATACTTTATCACCTCCCTTTTGTTAATTGAAAGACTAATGTGTGTCTTCCTTTACACCAAAGAGACACAAAAGGAAGGTAGGAATTAGGTGTCCTTTTTAGACTCAGAGCCCTTCTCACTCATCATGAAGATGAAAAATTGGTATGCATTCTCATTTGGCTATCTGTCCACTGGGCTCCCATTTCACTCTGCTGTTTGTAATAAGACACTATATGGTGAGCTTTAATTTGATTCTTTTCTAGAAGTTCCTCAAGGGCAGGGACTAGATCTTTTTTTAACCTTTTGTATCCTTGCACAATGTTCATTATATATTTAACAAATGAACAAGTTGAGAAATTCAGGCAAGCCCAGAAAGGTTGGCTGATCCAGAACATAAAAATAGTATCATGGCTGGTAATATCCTATTTTTGTCCTTCTCACCAACTATTTTGCCTCTTTTCAGACCATTAAGCTTCTCTTAGATCCTGTTTTTTAATTTGAGAGATACAGATATCTTTTATCTCAAACAATACTGAGAAGTTTACACGTAGATTATTTCTTATAGCTCCCTGGAGAAAGACATCCTCAAAACATGAAATCAACTTGAGTGGTACATTAAGGAAAATTTAAGAGTGGGTTGTTAAAAGTATAGCATGTAGGTAGAAACTATGCAGTTTAAAGTGATGTATACCACATTCTCTTCAGAACACTGGGACCTGGGTTACATTTTGGAAAGTACAGAGGTTAAGAGGACAGCCATATTATTCAAAAAGGTTTGGTAAAAGGTAGACTGTTGAAAAATAAGAATGGTTAGAAGTTTTTGAGCACCGTATGCCGAGTAGTATGCTGAGAACTTTACATTTATTTAATATTGTGATAAGCCTATGAGGTGAGTACATTTATTATGATTGTTTTGCAGCTAAGGAAGTTGAGTCTTGGTGAGGTCAAGCAGCTTGCCCAAGGTCACACAACTAGTAGGTGGCAGAGGACTAAAACCGGTCTGTCTGAATTTGGAGCCTGTACTCTTAATTAGTATGATGTACTGCCTCCTAAGAGGTAAATGAGGAGCTAGGACTAGGTATCCTAAACAGAGAGTTTCATGGTGAATTAATAGATTTTATGTATGGCTTTATATAAAAACTGAAATCAGTCTCTCTATAAAGGATAGAATTAGGGGGAAAAGGTCATATAGCTTAGTATGAGAGAATTATTAGACATAAGCTAAGATGAGCAGCCTTTCTTAGTGAACCATTGCCTCATAGAGAAAAGAAATTATTGGAAGGCCACTCAAGTTTTTTTTTTAAAGGGTATGGTAAGAGATAGGTGTCCATGCAGAGAAAAGTAAATGTCAAAAAAACTCAGCTCACTTCACTTTAAAATTTATAGCAAGGAGGATTTTACTTTTCAAAGTAAAAGAAATACGAGATTTATTACATGAGAAATATTACAAAGATCTATACAAAATATTAAATATTACAAATATATAAGACATAAAGAATGATTCAAGTTTATGTTTTGGCCAATTAAGACATGGGAAAGAAGAGAGGGAGGAAATGCCTGGCGAAGAAAAGGCAAAAATATAAGACAGATATGGAGAGAAATAAAGAAGACTGAGAAAGAGAAAATGGAGCATATATACAAGAGGAGAAGGCCAGCATATTCTCTTCATTCTTTCTAGGGCTATCTTATTTGACTCCAGTTTCCCTTCCAAGAGTTTGCTCCAAAATTCTTGTTTCTAGACCCCGTTCCTAAGAAATACTGCCTCTGTTGCCTCTCTCACCATCTTCTCCGCTCTCTCCTTAAGTGAACTTGTTGGGCATTAACCGTTAAATGGTTATGTCTCCTTTGTAGCTCACTCTCTCCCTCTGATGTTCTTAAGTGCTCTATTACTGGCTTTGGAGTCTGTAAAATGGTGATGCTGAACTATTTATTAGCCTATATTCTCATTGATTCTTTATGGGTTTTTCTACTCTCTTCACATAGGTTATTTTTCCATGTTGTAAAATATGCCCCAACTCTCTCTTTTTAACTTTTGGTAATCAGATTAAGAATATGTCACTTCCTTAGCACATCCAATCTGGATAATTAATACAAGTCTCATTAAGTGATCTAGATTTCCTCTGAGTTATTATTGACTATTAATTTAATCTTTCCATTTCTCTCAAAATAATGCCCATGTTTTGTCTTAATTTCAGGTAAAATGAAATAATTGCATGACTTAAGCAATTTCCTCTTACCAAAAGTTAAGGGTGATCTCTGTGATCTCTGTTTAATGTTTAAACTTAAAAGAATGGGCGGGGGGAGGGAGGAAGAAAAATTTTTTTAACTAATGTAAATTATTTTTAAGGCCCTATTGCATCTGACAACCATGAAACAAAAACAGATATTACCAATAGAATGAACCTGAAGTTGAGATGAGGGCTGGCGATGGAGATTCCTCACCCAGAGTTTTATTTTGTGTGTGTGATGGTGAGGACGATTTAATACTTGTATAGGTTACCAGGGAACCTGGAGAAATTTTATTTTTGTGGAAAAAAAGTGTAAACTAGGTTTGTCATTTCCCTTGTGTGTCTGCCTAAATGAAGGCAGCTGGATAGGCAAGAGTAGTCCGTCCTCAGTGAGGTCTACATTTTTATGAAGCTCAGGGTGGTGTGAGCTGATTACTACACTGAATAGATGAATATTCTTTTTTTTTTTAAGATTTTATTTATTTATTTGACAGAGAGAGGGAACACAATCAGGGGGAGTGGGAGAGGGAGAAGCAGGCTTCCCGCTGAGCAGGGAGCCCCATGCGGGGCTCGATCCCAGGACCCTGGGACCATGACCTGAGCCGAAGACAGATGCCCAATGACTGAGCCACCCAGGCGCCCCATGAATATTCCCTTTTTTTTAAATTTTTATTTTTATGTTAATCACCATACATTACATCATTCGTTTTAGATGTAGTGTTCCATGATTCATTGTTTGTGCATAACATACCCAGTGCTCCATGCAGAACGTGCCCTCTTTAATACCCATCACCAGGCTAACCCATCCTCCCACCCCCCTGAATATTCCCTTTTGACCACACCCCTTATATAACAAAATGGCACCAATCAGGCCACTACTCAGCTGTGTTTCATGTTCTTGTCGAATAGAATTCTTAACTTGGTGAATGAAAGAGCTGAGTAGTCCTCAACATTTACAACTACTGTGCCTGACAGCCTGTAGAGCACCATGCCAGGTGCTATGGACGGATTGGAAAAATGAAAGACTTGCCTGTGCCCATAGCTTAGAAATCAATGGGGAAGACCCACCAGAAACCCTCATCCAAACCCAAAACATAGGCTGCCAGGACATTGAAATATGCAGAATCCTTTAGACAAAGGATGCCTCGAGGCACTTTGTCCTCCTACCTCAGTATCTTCAGCAGATAGGCTTATAGCTGACATGGAGTAAGCATGCAGTAAGTTAGCTGCTCTCTGAATGCATCATACCATAAAGGACTTTTTTGGTTTGGTCTGATTAATTAGAACTAGATAATCTGGTTTTTTTTTTTCCTTCTTCAACTCTGAAAAAAAAAGAACCGCCCCCCCCCACCTGTGATTCATTTCAGGATCTTGGCAAAAAAAAAAATTAAAATATCCAGAGTATAATCTGTGGTCAGTGCTTATTAAACTGAGTCCATTCCTTCTCTACATTGTCTACATTTATATTGATACTATTTTATAGTTAGAGTTCTTGAGGCAATTCAAAACTATTAATCATCAAAGATAACTAATTTGGGGGTATCTGGGTGGCTCTGTCAGTTAAGTGTCCGACGCTTGATTTTGGCTCGGGTCCTGATCTCAGAGTTGTGAGATCAAGCCCTGCATCGGGCTCCATGCTGGGCATGGAGCCTGCTTGAGATTTCTCCGTTGCCCTCTACGTCTCTCTGTCTCTGTTTCTCTGACTCTCTAAAATAAATAAATAGGGGCACCTGGGTGGCTCAGTTGTTAAGCATCTGCCTTCGGCTCAGGTCATGGTCCCAGGGTCCTGGCATCGAGCCCCGCATTGGGCTCCCTGCTCAGCGGGAAGCCTGCTTCTCCCTCTCCCACTCCCCCTGCTTGTGTTCCCTCTCTCACTGTGTCTCTCTGTCAAATAAATTAAATCTTAAAGAAAAAAAGTTAAAAAAAAAAAAAAAGAAAAAAAAATAAATGAGTAAATAAAAGTCACACAGGTGAAAAGTTAAACTTTAAAAAAAAGAAGAAAACTAATTTTAACTCAATTTACTCATTTCCTAAGGCAGAAAATAGACTAATTTTTAAAGATTGCTCACAACCATAGTTAAGGCAAAAAAACTGTACATTTCCCCATCTGGTAAGCAGAACACCACCATTTCAGTTCTCTGTACATTCAGTCAGCAGGATTTTCTAGCATGTTGCAAATCTGCCATATCTCAGGTTCAGTGAAACCGTGCCATGAGTTAAGAAAGCTGAAGTAGCAAGTTTAGCAGCGTTCTAAGATTTCTCCGTTGAGTAGCTCTCGGGACTAAAAGTGAGGTCCAAGGACTATCTGGCCATTATTTGGGAGCTTATTAGAAATGCAGAGTCTCAGGAACCCTCCCAGACTTACTGGATTCAAAATCTGCATTATAGCAAGATCCCTGGGTGTGAATAAAGTCTGAATAAATTGTGAGAGGCACTGCTATAGGCAAGTGTTATTCAGACATTTTAA